AGACCGTCCAGAACTGCCAGGTGTATCATAGATCGGGCTCAAATTGCTGATAAGAATTGCAGATAGACAGACAAATTGCATGATTGACTTCTAATTGCATGTCTTACATGGACTCGCAATTTCTGCCCCCCAGCTTGCGACGACTGGGTGGGAAGAGTGGAAGAGTGATAGTACTGGAGTGCACCTAGTAATATGAATATCAGCATGGGTGTATCCATATCAGCATATGATGGTTGTCTGTTTGGCGACGAACCGTAGGACGGAGCAGGCACACTAACCTCGAACCAGAACAAATGAGCGGAGCTTCCCCCTTTTTTTTCGATCTTCCTTCGCCTTTTGCCCCTTTCTCAAGTTTGACGGAAATGGGTCCAGCCCGTTCGTTCCATTTGCCATTGATGTCCCATTCGTTGCAATCTCTCATTAACCTCTCATTATTTTGCATTTTTATGTATTTTTATTTAGGGCCTAAACTTGAAACAGATCCTTCCCGGCAGCCTGAGCCTTGAGGCCTCTTTCCTCTTTCCTCTTTCCTCTTTCCACCCCCCCCCCCCTCCAACTCCACCCAAACCCACCCACCGCTCACTTTGTCACGTTTCGTGTTCCCCGACCGGCGGCGTTGCGTTTTGATAACAGCTACCTATACCTTCCCCTCCCCGCCTCGCTCTCCCTCACCGTCTTCTTCTTCTCCCCTTCTCTTCTCTCTTCAACCCTCCCCTACCCCCTCCATCCTCGCGGCATTCTCTCCCTTCTCCCTTAAATCCAAAACTGCAGTCCTTTCCCTGCAGCTTCACGATTCCTCTTCTATGCTGAGCCTCGCCCGCAAGACTCTGAACCGCGTCCCCAGCTTCCAGGATATTCTACAAGGCAGGATGACCCACCCAGACATGTAAGGAGTCCTCCATGAGCTGTTTCCCCCTCCATCGTTTGTCGCAACTGGATTCATGAAGCTATATACTTACACATGGTTGTCCATGACCTACAGTTCCGTTGACGTTCTCGTCATTGGTGCCGGTCCTACTGGTCTCGGTGCCGCCAAGCGTCTTAACCAGATCGTACGAACTTCCGCATTCCACCACCAAGCAACGAAATCGCCAATGCTGACGCCAAATACAGGATGGTCCCTCTTGGTTGATTGTCGACAGCAACGAGATCCCTGGTGGTCTTGCTTCTACCGATGTGACCCCCGAAGGCTTCGTATGTACTCCGCTAGAAACTTCCTACACCCTTTCGTGCAACGTCCTCGACTAACCGCGATGGCAGCTCTTCGATGTCGGTGGCCACGTTATCTTCTCCCACTACAAGTACTTCGATGACTGCATCAACGAGGCTCTTCCCAAGGACGACGACTGGTACACCCACCAGCGTATCTCCTACGTCCGTTGCAAGGAACAATGGGTTCCCTACCCCTTCCAGAACAACATTTCCATGCTGCCCAAGGAGGAGCAGGTGAAGTGTATCGATGGTCTGATTGACGCTGCTCTCGAGGCTCGTGTGGCCAATACCAAGCCCGCCAACTTCGATGAGTGGATCGTCCGCCAGATGGGTGTCGGCATTGCCGATCTTTTCATGAGACCTTACAACTACAAGGTCTGGGCTGTGCCCACCACTAAGGTGAGTCAACGCATTTGATGGCGCCAGTAAACTCGATTGCTAACAATTGAGAACAGATGCAATGCGCTTGGTTGGGTGAGCGTGTCGCTGCTCCCAATGTCAAGGCTGTGACGACCAATGTCATCCTCAACAAGACCGCTGGTAACTGGGGTCCCAACGCTACTTTCCGTTTCCCCGCTCGTGATGGTACCGGAGGTATCTGGATTGCCGTCGCCAACACTCTCCCCAAGGAGAAGACTCGCTTCGGTGAGAAGGGCAAGGTTGTCAAGGTCAACGCCAACAACAAGACTGTCACCCTCGGCGATGGCACCACCGTTGGCTACAACAAGCTCGTTTCGACCATGGCTGTCGACTACCTTGCTGAGCAGATCGGCGACCAGGAGTTGATCGGCCTTACCAAGCAGCTCTTCTACTCCTCCACTCACGTCATTGGTGTTGGTATCCGTGGTGAACGCCCTGAGAGAATTGGTGACAAGTGCTGGGTAAGAGATTCCCATTCGCCAAAAAAAAAAAGAATCTGTGCTAACAAGGATTTCCGCAGCTCTACTTCCCCGAGGATAACTGCCCCTTCTACCGTGCCACTATCTTTTCCAATTACTCTCCCTACAACCAGCCCGAGTCCTCCAAGAAGCTGGCTACCCAGCAGCTTGCTGATGGCTCCAAGCCCAAGAACACCGAGCCCCAGGATGGTCCCTACTGGTCCATCATGCTGGAGGTTTCCGAGTCCTCTATGAAGGCCGTGAACCACGAGACCCTCTTGGCCGACTGTATCCAGGGTCTTGTCAACACTGAGATGCTCAAGCCCACCGATGAGATCGTCTCCACCTACCACCGCCGCTTCGACCACGGCTACCCCACTCCCAGTCTGGAGCGTGAGGGTGCTCTTACCCAGATCCTGCCCAAGCTTCAGGCCAAGGACATCTGGACTCGTGGTCGCTTTGGTAGCTGGCGCTACGAGGTCGGCAACCAGGACCACTCCTTCATGCTGGGTGTGGAGGCTGTTGACAACATTGTCAACGGTGCTGTTGAGCTGACCCTCAACTACCCCGACTTTGTCAACGGTAGACAGAACACTGAGCGCCGCCTGGTTGACGGTGCCCAGGTCTTCGCCAAGAAGAACTAAACGTGCGCGGAGTGATTATAGACGACACATATTTAATACTTTGAAATGACCGGGGGATCAAAAATGATACACAGGGAGTCTGATTTTTTTTGTCCGCCCATAAACCAGCTGTTTTGTCCCCATTTCATATTCCCCTTTTCTTTTTTTATTTGTCTGCTTGAGAGCGATGTACGGGAGATATCTGTGCTGGCATCTTTCTTGTTCTGAGTGATGGTGAAACAACCAGCTTTTCTCTTCTACATTATCTGCTAGAATATCCCAAGATTTATAAATGAGCAACAATTCTTAGACTGTTATGTTCCCGAAATGAGCTGTGATATGCGACAGGTGCTTGTGATCTCGCCCTTCTATATTTGGATGCATGCCATTGCCACTGGCCACCTCCGGCTGGGCCCTGATCGGCCTTGATTTCGGGACCGGTATGAAACATCAGTCGGGCGGACATGAGCTTGTCATTCGCGTGTCTCATGTGAGACGTCTTTTGCTATTCTCAGCTCAACTGCGGTGCCTCGATGCACCGATAGATGTTTCGCATCCGGCTTGCCCGATCAAGCCATCTGGTGTGATGTGGTGAGTCGGTGGTCTGTAAACACCGCGACCCGAATTTCCTACCGTGACTCTTAGGGGGGCGTATCAATCTATCTATATCAAACCAATCGGCCTTACTACACTACTCGCAGTCAGTTGCAGAGACCCGGACCACTACACCAATGGATCGTGGATTGACCCCCAGTGAGCGAGACCTGACCCTGCCCTGCAACAAAACAAAACCAAACCCACAGATGTTTCACCGAGAATCTAGCCTCAATTATCTGTAAGGCTGACCCCCCTTCCCATGACCGCGTAGCTCTAGCCCCAAGTTTTAGCCCAGCGCAGCTCAGCGCAGCTCAACTCTTTCGGTCGGTATCATGCCATGCGTCCGTCGTGTGTACTCTGCCGCTTTTTTGCGTAGCTTGGCTTGGAGGTTTAGCTTGTAGACTAGGTAGATGTTAGCTGGGTTGGTTGTTTTGGCTGTGCGGTGCGGTGCGGTGCGGTGTTGTGCTGTTGGTCTTGAGTATAAATGTGAAAGGAGTTGGTACGGTGGGTGGGTGGGTGGTTGTGGTTATGGTTGTGGTTGTGATTGTAGCTGTCTAGTTAATGCAGATGAGGTAGTACCTACCGGTATGCTTTTCCCTGCTGTATGTGCATGGGTCTAGGAGGAAGATGATACTACCTACCGTACTCCATAAAATTAGATTATATCCTACAGTCCCATAATTCGAAACTAGAGATTAGTCTTTTTTGTTTGCTTGTAAGTTTATCGATCAATACCTTGTTACCTATTCGACGTTGAAATCCACCGTACAGTAACCACCAGTAGTTATACCTAAGGTACTTGTAGATAATTGTTAGCCTCAGGTACTCGTAGCTATTCAGGCACCAACCCACCAACCCACCAACCCACCAAACCATCCCAAACCCAAACGAACCTTAGCCCGGCTCCACCGCCGCCGACACGGTGGACCAAACAATCAGGAATAGGAACCCGATCTTTGCACCAGCCAGTCCTACTCGTAGCAGGCTGGCAGCCCACCGGGGACGCGTAAGTGCTTTGTTGCCATCGGCATCAAGACAAAACCGCAAAGTGCATGCAAAGTCTACGAGGAGCAGAGGAGCAGTGTTGACGACACCACAGCCTGCGATGGCGAAAAATTGGGGCCATTGTCTTTACTTCTCGTTATCTTTTTTTTTTGGGTCAACAAGAGTTTCGGAGAACATTCTTACTAATCATCCAGATTGAGAGGTTGCTGTCGTGGCCTGATAACGTGGACTTGGAACCACACTAGTTACAGTCCGTCCCCGAGTCTTGGCCTCAGCACCAAAGATAGAAATGGGGCAATCCCTGGACGACTGCTAGACAGTGGGCAGTGGGCAGTGGGCACAACTGTGCATGTCATAAGGCAGTGCACCAAACCAAATCTAGCATGACATACTGATATCTCCTGTTTGCTACTGATTACTTCGCATTAACAATTCCATTGCCAGGATCTGCACAAGTTGAGTGTTCGCACATTGTCCCAACCAACGCCTTTCCTCCTATGTATGCTGCACTGTACCATACCATCTGAACGAATTATTGCATGCCAGTAGCTGCACCTTCAAGCTGACGTGCCTCTCCGCCCACTGTTCCATACTCGACAGCCAAAGGAGCGCATCCGACTGGTCAGCCACAAGCTTGTTGAGAGACATGGCTCCGCTCTTCCGAGGGGCAAGGTACTCGTAGCTCTCACTCCACCAAATCTTTGAAGTCCTCTGACTCTGAGCTCGCGAGCATCTGGTACATCGCCATGTTGACGTACGTTTCGAAATTTGCCGCCTCCACCTCAATCGAGTGGAGGGCCGCTTCCCGATGCTGTCCAATGGGAAATCCCATCAGAGGTCTTCTCAGCGCACGCCTGAGTGCGGGAATACGTACATCTTCCTCTTCCTCGCAAGGGTGGGCTTGTGTGGCAGACATTCTCGCACTCATTGGTTGCATCAGGGTATGTGACTTCCCATTGCCAGAAAGGGCCAATGATTGAGCAAGTGCTGTGGGCGTCGCGAATGCCGACCTTGGTGGCTGATTTTCCTGACGGAACTGGTGGAAACAGAGAGATCAGCCCTGCGGCTGTACAGACTCCTTAGCTTCCCCATGAATAGACCTGTACTTACCTCATCTTTGCCGGCAATGGTCTTGGGTGGATCCCCGTAGCCCTGGCAGGAACCGGTTCCAGGAGCTCGGTCTGGCACTCGGAGCGATTGGCCTATGTCTGTCTGGGCACTGGGTGACAGCTTGTCAATAACAGCAAGGTTGATTCCTTTCAGTTTCACCAGCTTGGTTGGACGCTGGGTGTTCTCAGGGCCACCATTGTCAACCGGACAACCGTGCAAGCGTGCTTTTGTCGATCGAGAATGAGAACGAGGATCATGCTGCGATTCAGTGACGGAAGTTGCCTTCTCATCTATGTGGGCTCCCAGCGCGCAACTGTCACAGCTTGGCACAGCATCACCCAAGAGGTTACTGGCCCGCTGGCCGCGTGTTGGTCTTTTTGAGGATCGCAACTTGGTCTTGCCACCATCGACCATTGTGTCTGTGATCGATGTGCTTCTGAATTCCTCTCTGTCTGTCAGAGAAGGTGAGATGGGCTTTGTGCTTCGTCCCGGTTGAATTGTTACCAAGGAACGTGGGTGATTCTCAATATCCGATTTTGTGCCACGTTCTTCGTCTGCTGCGTCCAGGTTTGTATGGGTCCGATTCAGGTCCACTACAACTCAGCGGCACATCAGCCTTATTCTCTGAACAGGCCACAACTTGTGGTCCGCTCATTCATACCTGACTGCTGCGTTGGCTGTTTCTCAAGCAATAGATTGGTGAGAAGATTAGTGAGAATCACAGCACGAGTGTCTAGCGGTTCTGGAAGAGAAGTTGTAGAGAATGAGCCCGATCGATGGTTCAGAGAACAAGAATCAAATGAGACAGGAGTCTGAGAGCAAGGCCTGGGAAAATGTGTTTCACCTGTGACATCACCCCTGACACTGTTAGGCACCGCTGTGGGTGGTGTTAAACAGCCAGACAAAGAGGATACTGGAGAGTCATAACAGCCCGGTGAATATCGATTTGCTTCTCCATTTCGACCCCCTAAGGAGGTGTCCTGGCCTTCCATTGAAAGCCGACATTCACCGTGCACATCCACATTTTTCCCAGCGGACCTTGCCGTCTCTAATGACAAAGCGGATGGCTGAACAATCACCGGCGAGCCTGTGTCTTTTGTCGACGAAGGGGAAGCGGATGCCCCTGGTGGGCACTCAGTCCTGGTGTTATGGTCTCCTCCTCCTCCTCCTCCTCCTCCTCCTC